ACATCCTCTAGAAGGCACTTGGGATTTTTTTGGGAGCAACATTTTCTACACTCTGTGCTATGTGATCAGTTTTGTGCTATGGGTAACTGAGCAGCAACCCTGATGTTTAGATCATTGACTTCCATCTCACAGTTGAGTAGCTGAGATGAATGAAAGTGATATATTGATGGTAGCAAGATACTCCCTGGCAGAAGAAGCAACAGCTTACTTGGTGCTTTCTTCAAAGGATGCTTGCATGTAACCACCTGGACCTGCCAAATGTTTCAGAACTAGAAAATCAAATACTTAATCCCCTCCCTGAGGATATTCAAATGTCAAGTAAAAAGTGATTTATCTTAGCAGGTGTTCTGTATCATCAGTTCTTGAACATTTATTCCCTTCCTAGTTCTCTGACGGTTGTATTTGTATTTTTGAAAATTGTATAATTCTTAAATGAAAGTTGAAGGGAAAATATTTAAAACTAGTAATATGTCAATTAAATAAAGGTCTTTCTATTAAATGGACAAAAATATAGTCCACTGGCTGCAAAATGATGATGTATATTTTAACATATTGTTTGGTCCAGGTGGTGGGAATCATATGGCCCTCCAGATGTTGTTGGACTGCACACTCCTAAAAGACCGTATCCCTCTGTTTAAAACCCAAGCTTTCATATCTGCAGGGAAGACATTCTGTCTGTCCCACCACCATCACAGGTATGGTTGGAGAGGACAGGGAGAGAATTTTCTTTGTGGCTTCTCCCAAGTTGTGGAACTCCCTTCCTTGGAAGGTTAGACTGATCCATTCCCTGCTGCCTTTCCTCTGGGAAATAAAGATCTTTTAATTTAAGGGAGCATTTGTTGTTGGTTTTTTTTTATATGTTGTGTCAGATGGCGTTTTAACAGGAAGTTTAGTATGTTTTACATGTGCTTTTAAAAAGGTTTTTAACTTGTGTTTAACTTGCCTTTTTAAAATAGAAGTTGGCTTAGTTGTGTTTTAACTTTAGTATTAAGAGGTTTTAAAAGCTGTATCGTGTTTTCAGGTTGTACTTCGCCTTGAATCCAGGGCTGGGAGAAGGTGGGATACAACTTAAGCAAAACAATGTCAAAAAACTTACAAAATTCCAGCAGGCATAATTGTGCTCACCCTAAAGACTGGATGGATGAGAGAGTAGAGGGGGACCAGAGCTTCCAGGATAGCTTACACTCTTGCCTTTCACCAGGGGATGGTTCCTTTTTTAAATAAGAGTTAAAGTACAGTACTTACACTGACCCCTAGATTAGTCAACTCGGGGTTTTTTGGGTCAATTTTTTAACTAAAATTTATAGATTTATAAATGAGCATATACAGTAAGCCCTGGCCAGCACAGCCAGTGGTGAGGAATGCTAGGAGTTGCAATCAAACAACATCTGGAGGGCCATTTGACCCCCTCCCCCATATAGAAAACATTCAGGGGTAGCTGTGTTGGCCATTAAGCAAATTCAAACAAAAACTGATCAGTGATAGCTTTATTGGCCAACCAAAATGCACAATAATACATGTTGCAAGCTTTCAAAGCTCCATGGGTTCTTCATCAGGCAAGATGTTGCAAACCAAACAGGAGGAAGACAACTGCAGATGTTAGTCAGGTGCCTACATGGTGTTTCAGTCTTTAGTTAAGATGGTATATAGTGGGGAGGATATCTTTTGCAGGCAGGCTACTCCTCCTTCTGGCCATGTGGGTATAAGGAGATTCTCAAAGCCCAAGAAATTAAAATCCATTTGCATTTCAACAAGGACCTCTCTTTTGCAATCCAATATGCCTCCATTCCAGTGAGGTCACAGGGCTCTTTGTGGCAGAGAATCCTTCTCCATATAGTCATTTTTAATCCCACTTTTCCAGTTAAAACCTCGTGTTTTTCTACATGTTTTCTCTAAATAGCAAGCTGACCCAAGATATGATAGAGAGAACAGATTTTTCACTGAACCACCATGGCAATGGCAGTTTTCTCCAGCTAATTGTTGTGCTGGCATCAATCTAACAGGCTGCATTGTGACATCTGTCTGACCAGGGAAACAGGAAAACTTGCTACTTACCATAGAGTAGATAGCCACAGGTGATAGCTACGTTCAACTTGACCAGCCAAGGGTCTCCCCTGCAAAGATGAAACAGTAGCAGGATAGTAAAACAGTGGGGGTCAGCCTTCCCCTCCAACTCATTATGTCCCATTTCTTTTCCTCATGAATGTTGTATGGACTACAGTTCTCAGAGTCACCCAGCCAGCATGGCCACAGGGGTCTTTCACTGAAAGCCTCACTGATTAAAATTTTGTTCTTAGTAATTACAACTGACACAATCAAGGCCATTTAAATAGCTGATTTATATCTAAATTTCCTAGTTGGAAATTCATATATTCTCTATTTTATACACAGTATTTCATTATATAAATTTCGTATATTCATTGCTATAACATCCGGATTTGGAAACAAGCAGGCCCTGAATAAAAGCTCAGAACATAACCCAAAGCTGTTTGTCACAACTGCTTCCACAAACTGCAGAATTGTCTCTGCCTACAGCAGGACTGTGGGATCTTTGAGCCCTCCGATATTGCTGGACTTCAACTTCCATCAGTCCTAGGCTTAATCTACACTGCAGAAATAAAGCAGTTTGACACCACTTTAACTGCCAAGACTCTATCCTACAGAATCTTGGGATTTATCTTGGGGCCCGGGATTACCGGGAAATCTAGAAGGGAGCATATTACTCCTATTTTGAAATCCCTTCACTGGCTGCCTATTGGTTTCCAAGCACAGTATAAGGTGTTGGTGATGACCTTTAAAGCCCTACATGGCCTAGGTCCAATCTATCTAAGGGATCGCCTCCTTCCATATAATCCATCCCGCACCCTCAGATCCTCTGGGAGGAACCTACTGAGGAAAACTAGATTAGCAGTAACCTCCCAGAGGTCCTTCTCTGTCGCTGCTCCCAGACTATGGAACGCCTTGCCAAAGGAGATCCATCAAATAACCAGTTTGGACAATTTTAAAAAAGCCATCAAGACACATCTCTTCTGGCAGGCCTTCCCCAAATAGAACAGACCTTATTCAACTTATGTCTCTCCCTCTTTTATATTTTATATTCTACTGGTGCTAGTACACCAGTTATTTTAATCCATTTTAGTATCACAGTTAAATTTGTTTAATCTGTTTTTACTATGTTACTATTGTTTATTGTCGGGTTGTTTATCTATGCTAATGATGTGAGTCGCCCTGATTGCCTAGGCAAAAGGTGGGATACAAAAATAAAGTTTATTATTATTATTATTATTATTTATAGTTTGGTGAAGAACCAGAGATCTCTGACAAACCAAGCTGAATACCTAACCTAAGTTCAAATCCCAGGGTTCCACAGGATGGAGCTATGACAGTTAAAGTAATGTCAAATTGCTTTATTATTGATACATCCCTAGGCAGACTAGCCATTTTAAGTATGCTGGGAGTTGTTCCTCAGCAACATCTGTAGGCATAACATAGGGACAGGTCTCTTTTTTGCATGTATCTTTGTGGCTCTACAAGACTACTACTTGTCTATTTAAAAATATTTTTAGACTGCCTCTAAGGGTAGAACCACCCCAAGGTGACGTATAGGACAAAAGAAACACTATGAAATGATAAAAACAGCAATGACAAATAAAGTAGTCTAAAAAAATTAAGAAAACAACCACAGGTAAACATAAGACGTTTTTAGAATTCTCCTGGAGACCTGAAAAGAAAGCGCCTGACAAACTCTTGATGGAAGTCTGTTTTAGAGGTGAAGCATAACTACTAAAGAGCCAAAATCATTTGAAGTCTAGTGTGAGGGTTCTCTGGGTCCCCCTCCTTCTCCTGCCTGAGCTGGATGGGACCCTTGAGACCACCTTTTATCAAAAGAACTCACTGCCACCACCCAATGCTTAACTCCTTCTCCTTTAGCAACAAAATGGGATGTTGCTGGGGAATTCCACTGGTAATTCCCTTGCCAACCTAGGGAAGAATTGGGCCAAGCTAAGGCACATGAAAAAGCAGTGCAAGAGAAGCAAGTACTTTTTAAAGAAAAAGGCTTTATTCTAAGCAAGGAAATTCTGTAGCAAAAGGATATCTTTTTTCATAAAGAACGTTCTTCAGGCAAAGGTGGAATGTACAGGTTACAGAACCAAATTAATTCAGCCCAACTAGGAAAAGAAATCAAAAGACCCTAACGCCACTGACTGGTACATTCTCCGAATCCTACTCACAGATCAGATGGGATTGGCAATCCTTGATGTTTCTGGATAACTGGGGGCCTGGACTCCATTGTCCAGCTCCACCAGCCTGCCAGTTCCAGTGCTCCTGGTTAGAAGGTCTCATGGTTCACTTAGTGAGAGCCAGGGACAAAGGGGGGTTGCAGACTGCCAGAAATAGTGCAAATTGAGTCCACTTTTAGGTTAGGGTTAGTGCTAGGGAGTCATGGGAATTGGTGTTTTTTTTTCCTGACACATTGAGCCTTCTCTATCAGAAAGCTCTGGTGCCACAATAAAATACAATTCCCATGATTTCCTAACCCTAACCCTAAAAGTGGACTCAATTTGCACTATTTCTGGCAGTCTGCAACCCCCCCAAAGACAGACCCAAAACCTCCTGGTGCTTTCAGGCTTTATAAAATCTTTCCTTGGAACAATCTCAAAGGTTCACACTTCTCCCCAACTGGCCATCTCATTGAAGAGTTTTTATCTCATCACCTCTATGATGCTGCCTCATTAAAATGTAACAGTACCTCATCATACATTTTAATCCTTTGTTATCTGGGAAGAAGGCTCTGATAAATGGAGGGACTCCCATTTATCACACTTAAGTGTTTGGAACATCCTAGAAATAGGTGCTAATAGTCAGTGGCCTAAATACTGTTTCTCCACAAAACAGAAAAGTTAATGTTCATCATTTCTGAGTGGTAGAGTAATAATATTAACATTTTGAGAACAATATAATGCAGAAACAGCTTGGGTTATGTTTCCTAGAATTTCCCAGCCAGCATGGCGTAGTGGTTTGAGTGCTACACTACAACTCTGGAGACCAAGATTCAATTCCCAGCTCGGCCATGAAACCCACTGGACAAGTCACACACTCTCAGCCTTAGGGAAAGAAAATAGGAAACCTCCTCTGAATAGTAGTAATAGAATGTATATGGCTGTATCCATACTGCAGAAATAATCCAGGCTGACACCACTTTAACTGCCATGGCTCAATGCTATGGAACTCTGGGAACTGTAGCTTTGCGAGACATTTTTAAAGAAACTACAGAGAAGTGGCTCTCTCCAGGTAAAAGTGTTCCTAACAGTTCTTTCTCCCTCTGAAACCATATAAAAATATTGGCCTAATTCTTAAATTCTATAGTCCAAAACACACTGCAGAAATAATTCAGTTTGAGACTGCTTTAACTGCCCTGGCTCAATGCTAGGGAATTTTGGGAACTGTAGTTTTGTGAGACATTTAGCCTTCTCTGTCAGAGAACTCTGGTGCCACAACGAGCTATAGTTCCCAAAATTCCACAGCACTGAGCTGTGGTGGTTAAAGTAGGGTCAAATTGGATTATTTCTCTAATACGGATGCAGACCATGAGGCACTTTGAACTAAGAAAGCAGTGTAAATGTTAATTACTCTATTTGTCATAATCTACAAATGAAAAGTTCATCATTTTTCAAACCACTAGGAAGCCCACAGTATTATAAACATCAACTCTATGATTCTATGAATAGTTATACCATTTACAATATCTTCACAAGTCAGGTAGTTTCTTTCATTTACATAAAAAATCAGCTTTTAACTCAATGTATCTGGTAAACATTGATAATTAGTCTTAAGACATTATAAATATAGGCATTTCTATGTTTTAAATTCAGAATTTAAATCAGCATATTATTATTATTATTTTTAGGGTTACAGAAGACATCAGAAGCCCTTTCACATTACACAATTATAGTGCTATTATTTCACTTTAACTGACATGGCAACATCCTATGGAATCTTGTGTCTGCAGTTTAGGAAAGGGCATTTAGAATTTATCAGCCAGAGGGCTCTTCTAGTGCCTCACAAAACTTCAAATCCCAGGAGTCCACAGGATGCAGACCAAACAGCAGTTAAAGTGGAACTGGAGCATTGTAATTGTGTAGTATGAAAGGATCCCAAATGTGAGAACTAGGAAATTGGGCAGCAGGACCCAAGATCTTTCTCTCTGTGTTACCATGATAGTACTTTCAAGCATAAAGACCTACTGAGCTGATTTTGTTTCTGAGCAAGTCACCTAGATAAAAAGCCATAGGAATGTTCCACAGATCATCCCAAGAGGACCATGTGATTTGGAGAGTCAATAGGGTGCTTGGTGGCCCAATACAGCTTTTGCCTCATGCTTGGTTTCTCAATCTCAGCAACCTGTCAGAGAAGACGTTGGTGCCCTGCCCTCTTCTCCCCTCTCCTGATCTTGATTACACACATGCCTCCACCCTTGGCCTGGTCTCTGTTCAGTCCTCTGGACCTGGACTTCTGCTTGACTTTGAATGGTGTATTTGCTTCTATGATGCCAACTAATCACTTGCAGGACAAACCCTACAGGTTTCTGGAACACTTGAAAACTGAATTTAAAAATAAATAAGTAAACAAACAGATCCAATAATTGTTTCTAAATTCATTTTTATTTCTTAAAAAGTAATTGATCATCCTCTTCCCTATCCACTGATCAATCAACTATGGGTAACTGATTTACCAATTAAAACTAATCTAGACAGGTTCTCTTGAGACTGCCACCATGGCAATCCCCCTTTCAGACCAGGAGATTTTCTCCTTCTTTTGTTCTAAGTTCCAGTGTTATTATTTGTCAGAAGACCACCTTTGTGAGTAGGCCCATGGACCCCTCCTTGCTACTGATGTTACTGCCCATTTTCACTGCCCAATTTCTGAGTCCAATCTGTACCACCTGATCTTTCATTACTTGCTTACTGACTCTGAGAGGGAAAGTTAATAAGACAGCACCACCAAAGAGGAAGAGCACCAGGAGGCTCCAGGGGTTACCACTGCTCCCAACTGGAGCACCACAGTGGGTAGTCAGCATCTGCAGATCCCTGATGCCAGTCTTAAAGCACCCTGTTAGTTCTATCTACTAGTTTTGTGTTATTGGAAGCCAAATGTGGCAATGTCATAACCAGTTGCAGGGGGGTTTGAAAATATGAACACAGATGTACCTAGAGCTCTGAAAAGTTAACTTTTTGGACTGCAACACCCAGAATCCTTCAAACAGCACAGTCAGAGGTCATGCTTGCTGGGGGATTGTGGGATTCATGATCCAAAAATTAACTTTTCCAAGTTCTGGATGAAATTGCACATGTTTGTCTTTATAAAAAGAAAATGATTATAACCACAAATTCTAGTTCTGGAAGAACAAGATACAAAAGACAAGCTATGGAAGACCAAGGAACAAGACTGCATGAAGTGAATGTGACAAGAGAGCCATTTAAAATCCTTGACTGCCAAGTGCAGCAGACATGGACCGTGAGACACAAACTCTCAGGACACAAGGAGGACACAGGAAGTGAATGGAACCAAATACATGCTAGTGAGAAAAGAGTAGAAATGGCAGGATGTAATGTAGATAAACAAGAGGGTGGGATGTGAAAGGGATTGGTCGGTGCCTGCAGAACTTCAGGGGCTCACCTCAGCCAGTCCCATCTAGGAGCAATGAGAGACTAAGGTACATCAGGGCATGCTAGCAGGGAAGAAGGGATGTCCTGGGCAGCAACATAAGCACCTCTTAAGGCACGATGCCAATCCTGGATCACAGGCTCCTGCCTACAGCTAACTCCACCCCATCCGGCTCAGTCCTAAACCCAAAGGGAAACAAGAGTCCATTCTTTCCCAGCACAAAACATCCCTTCATGATTTCCCTACACAATGGGACCAATCAAGCTCACAGGCACCTCCTCTCTTTCTCCCTTGTGGGGAAGCAAGCCAAGGAAACAGAGCCTGCAGCCTGGGTGTGTGTTGTGAGAGGATGGCAGAGTTTATATGTGTGGGTGTGAGAGGGAGGGAGAGAGGAGGGGGGGAATGAGAGTGCAAACCTGGTACTCCATTCCTTCTTACCAGATGGGGTTGGCATTTATGGCATCGTCATACCAAAGGATGTAGAGGCAGAAGAGACCAACTATTATGGCATGGAGAGTGGACACGCACCTAGGAAAGAGGAAGAGGAGGAAGATGAATTAAGGGTTAATCCAGGATTATGGCACTTGAGTTTACACAGGTGCAGTCTCTCTGCCTTTACACACACATACACAATTATTTCTTGTAAAACTAACAAGGCCTCAAGGCTTTTCCTTCTTCTTGCCCAAATGTAGACCAATGTCTGTTTTCGCTCCTCCAACATGTTCTTAACACTTGAGCCAGATAAAAGCAAAAGAGAGAACTGCATGTCCTTTTCCACCCCATTTCCCCCACACATACCCCAGAGTCGTGTACCTGGAATTCCATTCACTCTGCTTGACTGAAGAAAGGGTGGAGTAGCTGGGGCTCAGCGACAGGGAGAGCTGGGGGCTGAGAGCAGAAAAGGAGAACTGGAAGGCCACAAAGCTGCTGGCCACAATGCAGTAGCCCACACGGGTGGAGTCCTCCATTGAGTTTCAGCAACACCTGTGAACAGATGATTGAATGTTGAGAACACAGGGTGATCTGCTGTTGTGCTGAACTTCACTAAGGGCAACAGGTTTATAAAATGGCTCCTTCAAGACCAAAGTAAGAGATTGAAGGAAGTTAAATTGTTGTCTGTCAGAGTGCTCTGCAGGGGCCATGATATTCAATCTGCTTAGGCATGCTGGCTGGGGGATTCTGGGGGTTGTAATAAAGGGTGGAGGGAATAACATTCCAAGCATAGCAATTCATCAGTCCCAAAGGATGAAAGCATCAGAACACCCCAAATCTCCCACTCCGCATGTCAAGTGGACATGTGGGGTGGGATGGGGTGGTGTTTGTGAACTCTAGTCCAAATTAGACCCAGTTCTGGTCTAATCAGCAGCAGAGGCAATTTAGAACCAAAGTTCAGAAAGGTATTCACTTGTCTAGTAAATGTTTTGAGAATTCCTGAACTTTTTTTCTAAATAGCGTCTGAAGAAGGACTTATGAGTAAACAGAGGCCAAAATATGTCAAGCTTTTTTGTTTAATAATAAAACCCCCATCTTTGAGCTTCTTGAGATGTGTCTCCAGTTTTTAATGTGGATTTCAATGTTTGCTCTCCAGTTTTTGCTTCTTTTACATTCAGTATAAACTATGTAACCGAGACAGCTGGGTGCTCCCTACAGCTTGGTGGTCCAGGATGAGCCCCCAGCTCTTACATTGGTGTCCCCTGCCTGTGGGCTTTTGTAGGCATTTGGTCAGTCACTGTGGCAAACAGGAGCAGAATTTGGAAACTTTTTTTGCGTGGTGGGAAGCCTATACCTCTGCAGGCTTCTGGGGATCTGTAGCCCTGCAAGTACCTTTTCCAAACTCTGAAGAAAATGCTTGACAGAGAGCCAAAACACACTGCAGAAATAATCCAGTTTGAGACCACTTTAATTTCTTCTGCCCTTCTCAGTGCTAGGGAATCCTGGAAACTGTAGTTTTGTGAGATATTCAGCCTTCTCTGTCAGAGAGCTCTAGGCCTTGTTCCACTATGATTTAAAACAAATTGCTGCTTGGGTTATATGTCTGTCATTCCCACTGACTGAGCTCAGTTTCAATGGCAATGAAGTGAGACAAATGCAAAGGACACTAGTTTTTTGGTACGTAGTTCTTTTGAAAAGCGATTAGCAAGTTTGTTCAGCAAATGGGAATGAAGGACCTGAATCACATCAAACTGAAGGGGAGGGATTATTGTGGCAGAGGGTTGGCATATCCCTCACCAGTTTTGGGGGGATATCTGCCATTTTCTCCCCTCCACTTTCCTAGGACCCATCCTACATTCCAACTTTCTGTCCAGGAGGAACTGAAAAACACCCTCCATTCTGAACTTTACTAGGAAACATGTCTTCCAGGTCCTGCAAGGCTGGGAGGGCAGCACCCAGGGGAGAGTCCTCCATA